ACTCACGTGTATAATATCGAGAAAAGCTCTACTAGTTTCGAGCCTACTGTAGTAGCGCGACATCGCCGCGTCCGCGCACGCTGCTCATGAGGAAGAACCCCTCTGTGGTTCGAAACTAGTAAAGCTTTTCTCGATATTATACACGTGAGTAACCCGCGATTTTTAGATAAGTTAATATGTCTCACGATAGTTATTATTCAGATTCAATTTTTATTTTTATCCAGATTCGAATCGAATAATTATTTCTGTGCTATATTTACCATTGATCGAGGAGAGCTTTAAGATCATAAAACATCACAATATGACCAATATAAGGGCCGAGACTGAGACTCTGCGGAAATAGCTAGGAGAACGAAAGACACTGTAAATTTACACGTTATGTAACAAAACTAAACATAGTGTTAGTCACTGCCTAAATAAAAATGAAAATATTCTGCTCTGCGTAGGTACAGGTAACTATAGGGTGGTTTCTCTAATCCGATGTATACATATGTATAATTCGGATAACTCTAGAAATACATTTTGATTTAACCATTTTTTACTGACAAACCGACCTTACCTTATACTGGCAGGTAGTTCGATATTGAATTAAAATAAGTTTTTTAAACCAATTACTTTAAATGAAGATAAAATAACTAGTTTATGGTAAGTGTAGTTGAGGTTGTACGACTAACGCCCGGTTCCTATAATTGAGAAACGATCCGTTTTAATTACGAATAGTAGTTTTATATACGACTCGTAAGCTAAAACCGTTTCTATAATAAACGTCTCGTCGTGCAACTTACTGACGGTTTGCAACTAACGGATATCGGTAAGCGAATTGTATGGAGATCTATGGTGTCTGTGGTGTTCCTATAAATATTTTAACCGTCAGTAGACGGTCAAGATAACTATTCGTAATGTCATTTGGTCGTAATGTCATACAACGACGATTCGTTAAATATAGGAACCGGGCATAATTCTGCTAATCGTGTTTTTTAATTATCACGGAGAAAACTTCTTTTGAACGGATGCCATTATAAATGAATGAATATTAAGAAAATAACAAAATCAACCTTCACTAATAGGTACTTTGTCTAACCCATAGAATCGCAAGCACGATACATCAGAAAAAGAAATTAATATAATCAAGTTTCATCACAGAATCATGACCCAACTATCATAAAAAAATAAACGTAGACTTCCCAGAAAATGGAAAATTAAACTTCAGACCTTCAACAAGAGAAAATTTTAAATAAATATAAACAATTTCTGGAAACAAACTCTTCGTTCAAAGCTTCGGTATTAAATTAAACAATTTGAATTACCGTAACAAGCTTCAGAGAATGGGGTTACAAGCAATTAATATATTACAAAGTTTTCACGCCACAGACAAACGTTTTAATAATTTAAAATTAAAGATACGTCGTTTCACGTAATTTGTGGAAAAACTTGATAGAATTTAACCTTGTTTGGAATTCCTAATTGCCATTATTAGTAGTTATAATAACGTCCGAAAATAATGGTGTACATGGTCAGCGGCGCGGTTATACATATTTTGTTGCCTACGTATTTAGGATGTGTTGAATGCGTTCAATTTCACATCATAAATTCTATTCTTATTGGACGGTAATCCGACATAGCCAGAAAGAATTTAAAATCATATTTATACACCACATATACATACATACTTAGTTACTTCTTGGTAATAAGTTTTACTTTAGATTTAATACAAATCATACTCTGTAATTTTGCAAGTAATAACTTTACAACACCTAAAATAAACAAGGTAGCCATTATAATATAATACACCATAATACTCACGTAGCTATTATCATTTATCTCTTAATAAAATTAAACAAAAGTTTATAAAACTTAAGATGTACTCTGTATATAGACGCATGATATTCTCATTCCTTATCAAATGAGAACAGCCTACCTTATTACTTGTTCTTAACAAAATTATCCACATTTATATGTTAAGTAAATATGGGACAATAATGAGTACATAGTATAAAACCAAGTTGCTAACTCTGTCCTGATATCCTTATGCATGCTTAAATCTTTATAAATATGCAACAGATTTTGATGCGTTCTTTTTTATAGATACAAGTGATTGAAGAATGTGTTTTATATAAATAACAACTATTAGATATTTTTATTATAACTTTCGTGAGACATTCTAAATTATTTATTATGTTTTCGGCTTACTCACGTAATAGTTTGACGAGATACTCGACTAGTTTTAAGTCATGCTAGAGGCCCATATTCATGAGCAGCATTCCGCGACACGCGACTCTGCGACTGTCGCGCTGGCAGAGGGCGCGTTGGGCGCGCAGATTCGAGTAGCCAGTAGCAGCGCGACAGACACGAGTCGCGTGTCGCGGAATGCTGCTCATGAATATGGGCCTCTAGCATGGCTTAAAACTAGTCGAGTATCTCGTCAAATTATTACGTGAGTAAGCCGAAAACATAATAAATAACTATTAGATAGTTTAAGAATGTAGTGTCAGCATTGCAGCCGCGGGAAGCCAGAGCAGGTCACAGAAATATAACAATTAATTGGTGTGAAGGATTAAGGAGCTGTCTCTGACTCACTGCGATTGACTGAGTCACCAATTGGACACTCTCTCTAGTAGGAGTTAATTTAGATTCCAGAGCATGTTGAATGTTGGATTAACAAGAAGTCATATTCAATATTTTTATCAGAATTGACAAAATCACACAAACAGAATACTATTATTTTTCTGAAAATTTGTGTTGGAAATGGAATATTTTGGGTCAAACAGCATATTTAATTAGTTTGTTCTTAAAATGTATGTAGAGTAATTTCAAATCAAATCAAAATCATTTATTCCAACTAAACCATAAATAGGTACTTTTGAAACGTCAAAATAGAATAGTAGTCTGTCAGTCTGTTCGTCAGTGAAGCTAGGTGCTTGTTCCAAATTGTAGTTTCAAATGGAGAAAAACAAGCAAGAAACTCCATCAATTTAAAATTTATTAATTTTATACAATTAATTAATAAGAGAGTAATAGCAAGCTACCATACATATACAGAGAAATATTGAGGATCCAATTATAACTATTTACATTCAAAATTACTATTTTTTTTTTCAATGTCATCTAGCAAAAAACTCCGACAGGTCTGTCAGTTGAATGACAAATTTAGGTAAATGACCTAAAGTTATTTATTCAACCTTTGTATAATTAAATTAATAGATTGAGTATTTTGAGATATAAAAATATATCATGACAAAGTATAAAATAAAGTCGCTGCTTCTGTCCCTATATCCCATGTATGCTGAAATCTTTAAAAACTATGCAATGGAGTTAGAGTGATAGAAGAGGGAGGTTTATATGTATAATAATATTCTTTAAATAATAGACAAATTTAGTATCTGCATTGCACCTGTATAAATTGGGGGTGCATGCTAGTTATTTTATATTGATCACAGAATCAGAACTTAATATTGAATGTTTCCAAAATGTTTATGAAGCAAATATTATCTATTAATTAATTCATGAAAGAAAATACTTTGTTATTTACTGATGATGGTCAATTAAATTTAATAAACTGAATTAAATATTATAATTAATATAACACGACGTTAGTTAATTGAAAATCTCAATAAAATATACTATCCTTCTATCAAACTCCTAGTATGAATTTAACCCATTTAATTAATGTAAATAATTATGAAAAATATGAATGATTCACTATACTTTCAAGAATCTAAGTAGGTATTTAAGAATGTTGTGAATTACTTAGAGTACATAAAACGAAATTATTTCATTATTAATTCCACTCACTAGGTAATTATAATATTTCACTGAGGTTCTTTTTACAATATTAAATGTTTTTTTTAAAGAAAACTTATTAATATTGAATATAAATAGTGTCATAGAAGTATTCTACTGAAATTTGTTACTTAAAATTTTATTCTTAAAGTTCTAATTGCTACATCCTCTTAGGATCTTATACTGTACTAGGAGTATGTAGAAAGTTCTATTTAATATTATAAACAAGAAAGCTTGTTATTATTGATTTACTCTTTCGCATAAAAATTACTGATGGGATCTGAATGAAATTTAAATTTAAAAGAAGTAGCCTGTGTAATAACACAGGCTACTTCTTTCTCTGGAATTGCTGGCTGATAATAAAAAAAGTATAAATCCAAGATGTGTTTTAAAAAATCCAATTGCTAATAATTCTCCAAACTTAAGTAATACCTACAATAAATATTACTGCTACTGTATTGCTATGACAAAATTCTTGTTTTTTTTAGGGGCAAATTCAGACTGCAAGATGCATATTATACCTACATTGTGGAATGACACAACTTAAACCTTTTATTTAATATAAAATATGTATGCCAATGAAGTTTTGATCTAAATAGCCATATTCCAGTTAAATAAATACAGTACACAAAAAAGTAAAGATTCATACAAATGAGAAATTTGTATGAATCTTTATATTAGACAGTATTTCTTAGTGTTAACTTAATCTTTAAAAAAGACGCAGATTTATAGGTAAGTAAATGTATAGCAACTATTGCTGACCTAACATACCATAGAAATTACCAGGCAATTTTTAATTTAAATAAAGAAAACCGCAATAACGCAACGAGGTGAAAGTGAGAGTGCGAATCATACGAGAAGCGGCAAATAAATCGAGTTGGCAACGTTACAAACACGAAAAGACCAAAAAGTACGATTACTCGTTATAAAAATACGAAACATCACAAAACATTAAATATTTCACATGTCAAGCAAAATAAAACTAGCAGCAAGAACGATCTAGGTCGTCTGCCGCGCATACGTAGGTCAAAACAGTAGGCAGTTCGAACAAATACGCCGATTCACACCCCTTTCTGTTTGCTCAAGACATTTCTACCTACTATAGCACTCGTCTAGATATAAGACATACTCTATGACTAATCTAAACATTAAAACGCGACTAATCAATAACATCATACACAGTACACAAACAAAATCAATAATTTCAACAATGAACTAACCACACTGGCGGTGTCTTGGCTGTCTAAAGAATACTTGTCCGTTTCCTTCCCAGGCTGGTCGTTGGAGAAATTTTCATATTTGCGCGTGGGGCTACTTTTCATCGTTCACACACTGCCTCACAGCTTAGGCCTCGATAGACATTTCCACACCCGAGAAGACGACACGAACAACCAACGAACGAAAAATCACTGACAGAAAACACCGAAACCAAACAACTGACAATTCAGCTTGACATATGAAACATTTTGACAGAAAAGGACTTAGGGCTAGAGCTGCTCTACCAATCTGATATCTAATAGGTAATCTAAAAATATGTTTCTATTTTACCTGACTATATAAAGTAAACTTTCTGATAATTTAATAAAAACAAAAAGATAATTTACTGATAAATTGACATTATCATCTTCAATTTAGTCGAATAAAAAAGACGACACTAAAGTACTTTACCACCCACCACTATATCGCGTGATAGAGATAGAACGATGAAATCATTAATCAGATTAATATTTATTTATTTCCTTTATTTACTTGTTTGGTTTTAATTTTAACTGATGGCCATGACAAAATTGTGAACCCTTGTATGTTTTTCATAGAAGTAATAAAAATACTTAATTAATTAATGCTTATAACCTAACATCTACCTACATAAAGTAAAAGCCTAAGGCTAAGAACTCACGGAGCGATTTTCGCCCGCGTCCGCTGCGGTTGCGGGCCCGCAGCTTCTGTAGAATTCAAATATTTATATAAAAAATTAAAGCACATTTCACGACGCGTTTTACGCCCGCGGTGTACGCGGTTGTATGCGGCTCCCGCTGTACCGGCGGGCAACTAGTAGAATCGCGCGGGCCGCGGTTACCCGCAGCCTCGGCGGGTGGCACCCGCGCGCTTTGCGATCGGTTGGCGAGCGACCGCGGGGATATAACGCAACGGCTCGTTTCTGGTGTGTGTCCATGGCGGTCTGGACCTCAACTAATCGTTAACCGCCCGTCTTGCAATCTTGCGATCATCGCCCGCCACGTTTGCGGGCGATGATCGCAACCGCGGCGGCTGTGTAACCGCGCAAATAACCGGTCTCGTGAGTTTGGAAATAAAACCACAGTTCCGCTACCGCGGCGAGCGCGGTTCAAAATCGCTCCGTGAGTTCTTAGCCTAAGTACATTTTTTATAAATTAAACTTTTGATACTCACATCTCTCTGCTCCCAGGACTCATTAGGATCCCACAGTTGTATTTGCGTGTATTCTTTATCATTTTCATTTTTGTAATTTCTACGAAACATCTGTAAACCAACACCATTTTGACACTGCAATTTTATTTTTTTAAAGAACCGAATTCAAATTATATAGGTAGTTTCACTGACCACAACACTAATAAAAACCTCCTTTTAATTTCATCTTTTAATTACTCACCGAAATTATTACTTATAAATTATTAAAATTAATTTTATATCATAGTAGGTGCCTAACTCACAGGACCATAACAAAACGACGTCTGGAATACTACTATTAAGTATACTATCTAACGTTTACCTTATCAGCGAATGAGCGTCACATCACATTACGTAGGTACTGCGGCAAGATAAGTCATATTATTATGTGTAATTTAGGTACTACACCTATATTACTAATTAGCTTATCAGAATTTCACCATGGCTTTGAAGCAATCAATGTTAATCTGTAATTGATTTTTTATTACAGAAATATTTGGATAATTTAGCATGTAGATAACAAAAGCTTCACTTTTATAACAGATTTTGTACATAGTCCACTTAATTAGTCCCTTCCACGCCATTAACAAAAGTGAGCAGTACCTAAGACAGCAGTTTTTTAACTTGATGTGGGTACAACATTGTAAATTAATGCAAACTAATTTAAAAAAAAAAAAACAAAAATAAAATTGAAATTTGAAGTCCATACTAATATTATAAAGAGGTATTTGTAAGTTTGTAAGTAATCTTTGGAATTGCTGATCGGATTGCCAAAATTCTTTTACTGATAGATAGCTACAATGTTCTTGAAGACTATAAAACATCACGCTACGATCAAATGGAGCCGAGCAGCGGGTGAAACCGCACGAGACTAGCTTGTATATTATTATGAAAAAGGACAAGAACAACTAAAGTAACTATATTTTCCTGGTAAATAAGCATACATATGTATAATATACCTAATCTCCAATAAGGTATAATAATATTTGTTTACTATAATGTATTTCCACTTGTATCCTCCGATTTACATTTGGGCCCGTACTTATTTTATAATCTGATTTTTCTACTTGACCCATAGGTTCACTGAGAGAAAACCATATTAATATTATGTAATTTTTAGTACTAACTTCATGTCATTGTATAGGTACAATAAACCATAAATAAATGATCTGCCATTAGGAATGGTACGATTTGATTCTGCCATTCCCATTTCACCTTCGGACATCCCGACGAACGTACGGCGAATACCCACCCTTACGTTGTTGAGACACTTGCGGCCCGGACTAAGCGTTTTGCCTCGTCATTTATACCGCGTACATCGGGGGATTGGAACAGTTTGCCGGCTGCAGTATTTCCGTCCGAATATAATTTAGGTATCTTCAAGGCTAGAGTAAATAGGCTCTTAATAAACTAGTGCGCCTCACCATCAACGATTGCATCACTGCTTACCATGAGGTGGGATCGCAGTCAAGCACTAGTTTATAGTAAGTAAAAAAAAACAACAAAAAAAAACGCAAATAAATCAACAAAATGATCTAACATGATTTATTTAAATATTTCCTATAAATAAAATTTACAAAACGTTTGTTCTAAGATTTGAGTCCGTCTTGCAGACCGTAGCCGGGACCAGTTGGTTCTTCAGTGAGGCAGGTCAGTCCTCCTAGAGGTTCAGAGGCGAATCTTCCACTCCTGAGAAACAAACAAAAAAATTGCTTTTAGTATATAAAACGAGATTTTATTTTTTACAGCAGCGTGGTGGGCAAAATATGTTAATCCAGAGCCTATCTACATACCAACAACCAAATCCAAAAACAAACCAAATCGGTCTAGTCGTTTTTGCGTAAAAGAATAACCAATATAGAGCCATCCATTGTCACAAACTTTTTTATAATATTAGTAGGATAAATGTACTATTACACAGTGCAGACTTAAAGAAAAGAAAATTGTGCCGGTTAGGTACCCGTGACCGCCGAATTATTTTTACGATTTAATATAAAAAAATAAGGAACCAAACATCCAATAACCAGGCATCACAAAAGTTCATTCATGTTTCACATTATTACGTCACTGCTTATACTTTTGATTTGAAATGCGCACGCGCACAATATCATACTACTCTCTTCGTGCTACCTGTAACCATCAGCGCGTGTAATATGTTGCACGCACATATATTCGCACCTACTTATATCGAGTAATTAATCAAGTAGTAAGTTTGTTAAAGAGGTAAGAAAATTTAAGTTTTTTTTTTTGGCATTCACTTGATATAATATTATAGAATTGAAAATTCACAAATAGGGATGACAACAACCAGTATTTCTTTTATAATAATAACGATATTTTTTCTGAGATATTGGCTATGTGCGCGACGGCAGCGACGCGTAACGTTTACAACCTTTGCGGAAGCTGTCAAATACAATGTAAACATTATAATTTTCTTTGCAAATTTAAACAAACCCAAAGATTAAAATAGTATTGTTGACCTTATTTAAGTGTAATTAATTCAATAGTTTTACTGTAAAATGAATATAATAATCAAAACCGACAGCTGATCATCCGCATTTGTTTTCAATTTCTGCCGTGTTGTGCACTGCGGTCGTTATCGGTCCGCCACTACTCGCTTTCTACATAGCCAATAGGATTACTAAATTGTGACGACATCATTCCACCCTTCCACGCAAACTGTAGATGCGCGCGAGTTCCTTTGCTTCCAGATCCCATAGCGGTGATCCGGAAAGGAAGTTCGCCGCTTCTCCGGAGATCGGGCGATATCTGTGGATTATACGGATGGCCATGACCCTCTGGGACGCGACCAACGTACGATTTGGTCATTCCATATTTCCACCTTGTTACTTAAATCACATGGGGAAATACAACGCTATGTTTGTTTCACGATGGTTTTCTTCGATGCAAGTTTATTACTCCGGTCGGGCGGGCCCACTCCTATGCGACACACCATGGTTCTCCCACAGTTAAAATGTTATATTGTTGTTTTTAAAATTATATCTGAATAAGTACTTATAAGTAGTGTATTTTTTATACCTTGGTCCAGGCTTCGGTTTCTCGTCCTTCTTGAGTTTATCAACGATCTCATTTGCGTCTTCTACACTCAGGTCTTCCTGTAATAATATTTATAAGGATATTAGTAAAACTGTTCGGTAGGAAGAAATCAGCTACTCTATATATATTGGTAGCTGGTTCTAAGGTAATATTTTTGCTTAAAAGAAAATTTATTTAAGTGCAATTTTAAGCCTTTTTTTAGAGGGAATTATCGAATTACTTCTCCTGCCCTCGCCGCCTTATTAGGTACAAAACAAGGTTTTACTTTAGTCTAGGACTAAACCATTGAGCCAGTTTTTGTATTTCGAATTGAAGGTAGATGACAATAAGATTCAAAATTCAAAACCCGACTCAATGGTTTAAACCTGGACTAAAGATAAATCTTATTTTGTAATAAGGGAGTTACTGACTAAAAAAGACCGTTGCTTCTCCTACAGCAGGCCGGGGTCGCAGTACAGTGCGGAATTGCGCTTTTAATCCGATTTTTATTTTTATGTACTAGTTTGTCTACAATTGTTACACATAAATTAACAATTATGTATACAAGGACTGATTTTAAAAAGTTACTGTGTAACAATGTCGGATTAAATTTAACTACAGTGCGGCCGACGTATCTTGCCGAGTCTTAAGTTAGCCGATTAGCTGCGCGGTACACAATTTTGTTCCTAAAAGATCCATTGCGCAGACAAACGGCTAACTTCAGATTCGCCAAGATACGTCGGCCGCACTGTAGGTTAGCTTAATCCGACTTTAAGGTTTTTATTTGGATTTTTGGAGAGTTAATCATGTCATGACATACGATTTTTTCTGGCCATGGTGAGGCGAGAGGTAGTGTTAGACTTAATAAATAAAAATCTGTTGCTGTTCCAGGCCATGGCCTCAAGGAAAACCCTCGATGAACAATAGTCCTATTGGGCCCCATCTCTAGTAGTCTACTGAACGCATCGCGCTTTATGCTCGGGAAGAAATTTAAGGTATACTTACATAGTAATCATCGTTGACCTGGATCATCGGAGCATTAACACAGGCACCAAGACATTCAACCTGAAAATAAAAAATAAAAGATTGAGTATTTTGGTAGACGCAAAAAATTTATAAAACAGAGATATAGTAATAGTAAGTGCATATTTATGTTATCATTTTGTGATTCATTAAATAGAAACTTTAAAAATAGCTCAATGGTTTGCTCTTAGAAAAGTCCACTTCCAGGAATAGATATAATCAAGCTGATGCTTGGAATTAACAAGAACATTTAAGCCAGTGTTGTCATTACAAACTCCTGCTCAGAGGTTATATTAAAAACCATCTTACTACCAGGCCAGTGTCGCGGTACACTCTTGTGTTTGCATTTGCAACCCTGGGTGCGCCCCCTTTTAGGATATAATAATAATAAAGCTTCATTTCTCTACACAGATAAGATTCCGAAAAAATGTATGTAAGTATATATAAAGAACTAAATTAAAAGTTCATTCATTGTGTAAGCCCTCTCGGGTAAAAACCACAAACTCCACAAATATATAACAGACAGGTAATTACGCCAAAATGAAATTAAGACTCAACACAATATACTACCAATTATCTTTTATTAAACATTTCCCCACCCTACGATTTTTCCTGTTGTGGGTATTTGTTTACAAACATACTCATCACACCTATACCACCAAACAACAGTTTGTGAATCACACTATAGTTGTTGCCGGAATAGAGCCCGCGACACATTGCATGACAGCCTGTTGCCCAGCTACTATGTCAAGCTTGCAGTCAACATAATAAATTTGACGCAATCAGTTGTCGCCTAACGACTTCAACTCAGCTTCATTAGTGAGTAATAATAAAATAACAAACTTACCTCAGAAATGGAGAACTTGCCACAAGGGCTGTTGCCACCGACATGGCACTGGGTGCTTTCAGTAAGTGCCTTGAGAATAGCATCGGAACCACGAAGCCAGCATGGTGTGGTGGTGCACACTTGGATGTGGTATTTACCAATTGGTCTCCTACAAATATATAGATGTTTTATATTAGATTTTCAAGTAAGGTTGAGTAATCTATGCTTATTGTACACTAATGTTACCTTTTGCCAGTTGTTCTACCCACTGCTACACTGAATAGTGTGATTTATAGAAATATCTTTGTATGATAAATACAACAAAATGTTTTTATAGAGATCTTTTTACAAAAAATAGAGTAGAACAGTGTTCTGTACAATAAAAAACAGCCAGAGCCCAGTTGTGACTTTTAGTACAGTCGGTTCTTTTGCATAAGTTGGTCTTTATTTACGAGTATAATACATTAAGCACTACAGAGACTTACATTTTAATAACAAAACTGAACTTAGGATCTTACATATGTATAAGGGTTTTTTATTCATAATTATTGCAATACTTAATTATGTTGAAGTACTAATGTCTTAACCCAATGCAAATTAAATAAGTCCTTCTCTGGACAAGGAAAGAGATAAGGTAATCTTTACTGCAAAGTTGTGTCCTATCTAAGTAAGAAAATATTGTCTATTCCCTATTCAAACAATTCTACCCACCTAATGAACATTGTGTAGAAGGTGGCAACCTCATAGACCCTCATACGTGGCAGATTGAGGATCTCAGCGACCTTGTGCATGGCTGAGATGGGCAACCAGCCTCCGCTTTGACGCTGAGCAAGATCCAATAGAGGAATCATAGCACCACGCTTGTGGCCTTCAGGGTAGATTCCTAACAGGGCTTCAACTCTCTGGAAAGGGTGCCAGAATTATGTTACTTACATACATTACAATAATTAATTTAAAAATCAACAAGTACAATTAGTTTTATTAACATCAATTTTATTGTTTGATTTTTTGTAATTATATGTAAATTAAAATATTTTAATGAAAAAATACGAAAATTTTAGACAAACATACGACCTAATCTCATAATGTTATGATTTGATAACATTGACATTTATTTTAACCTAAAATAACATATTATTATAACCTCCTTCAATAGACTGAATACATGATTGTCATTGCAGTAATAAGTTAGAAAAGGTCATTTTTCTTTTAGATTCTGCTAAGTTTGAATTAGAACAATCGAAATGATAATTGTTTAGAACAAACAGATGACTATCGGTTACCTTTTTGTTAGCCTCTGAGAACTCAAAAGGAATGTCAGGATTGTCCTCAGGGGTATCGCGGTGGACGAACAAGCTGTCATGCTGCAGAGCTGAGCTGGTCTGAATACTCCTGGAAGCTGCACGCCACTGTAATACGAACACAAATCACCAGATAGAAATGTCAAAATGTTATTATATAATATGATTGTTTACAATGCGAATGAAAGAAACATAATATTTTAAATGACGTACCACGCCCTGAACTCCAGTTCTCAAGCTGGATAGCATGGTATTTGACAATATTTTTCTATTTTTTCTAAGAAATAATATTGCGAAACACTGTTCGCCAACACTTTTGGTTTGTGATTAACTTCAGACTAGTCTTATCATTTTGACAGATGCGTTTAGAAATCGCGTTATCAAGTTGGTGCTAATCAAATGTTTGTCAAATGTGCACAATTTTGTCAATTAAATATAGTAAGACTGTTTAATTCACTAATTTTATTAAATACTAACTTAAAATGATTCAGGCCAAGTTAGTATTTTTTAATATCCTTTCTTATTCAAAAGTTTTAACAGCGAACGTTTCACATTGTATACACGCAACTAACTTCAAGTCAATATGTAAATAAAATATTATGCAAAAATGAACCTTCTGTCGATGCCTTAAAATTTAATTTTATCCACCTACAAATCGACATAAAGATTTTTTTATTTACATTTTATGTAATTTATTTATGATATCTATATTTAATCAGGTAAAAAAAAATATTTTTTCGAAACACTGTAGCGACATCTAGCGCACTACGTAAAACAACAGCACCAATCACGAGCAAGAGTCTACATCGCGCTATAAGAGTTTTCAACACAATTAGCACCCATACAAATATCCCGACAACAAACGCCGGAGGATCCTCCCTTTCCAATGGAGGATGAGGAACTTTCCACCCTGTTCCTAAGACTCCTTAAACACATAGGAAATTACAGTAACACCCTGTAAAATAAGATCACTTTCTTGCGGGAATCAAGAGCACGACATGTTCCGCAGCAATCAGTTGCCCAGCCACTTGGCAAATCTTGCAGTTCGTCAATTTAAAACTAACAAATCTTGCCTAGTAGTCAAAGAATCAGTTTCACATCGAAGTATCTTATTAGGATTTTGAAATTTCTAAAACAGAACACAGATAGAGTTTTGAATTATGCCCGATGTGCAGCTGATACTTACTACATGAAACTTATTACATACCTTATGTTTTAAATAATTATTACGTGATACTCGTCCTAGCAAAAACTTTTACCTTTTACCTATTCACTCTTACAACCCCTTTGTTTGATTGTGATGATGTGTAGAACTTACATGACAACGGATTTGCTTGGGCTGAGCACAGCCGCGACCTCAGGGAAGTGATCGGCGGCGGCGACCTCTCGCGCCCGGCCTTAGTCGAGGCCATGTTGCCGAGCCAGAGAAACTGGGACGCCGTCTTCTCCTTCTGTTAAGCAGTTATGCTCGCAAAGAAGGAGGTGGACCGCGTGAGGGAGACCCTCCTCCTCACGCCGCAGCCGCCGCAGCAGGCGATACTACGGGCGTCGGGAATCGAGAGACGGTCTCCGGCCACCGTTAGCGCGGGTCTGCGGACGGCGAGTAGGTAAGGGTAGCTCGCCGCCCGAACAGATCCAGAAAAGAGCCAATAGACCACCACAGACGGGGCCGTATAGGGCTGAAGTTCAGCCGGTGTTGAGGGGTAAGCACGATGAGGCACCCCGGCCTCGGCCCAGAGCAGGAGCAGGAACGGGGGGTTTTTAGTCAGTAAGAGTCTCACACTCCCTCCTGGCCGACCCTGGGCTGGAGGGAGTGTGATTTATCCTCACAAAAAACCAACTTATGTGTGGGAGATTATTAAGTGTGGGAGCTTCATGCTTCGGCACAAATAGGCTGGATCGACCGGTGTAATATAATTAACGGCCTGACAGAAACCAGTGAGAGTCAACACTTAGATATGTTTTGTTTCGCCGTGTGAATGAGGTTACCGGAGGCCCAATCCTCGCCCTCCCATCCCAGTCCCTAATAACCCACAAGAGGCCGGCAATGCACTTGTAGTAACTCATTTGGTAATGCGAGTGTCGATGGTCGGCGCTGATTGATCTACTTACTAGTTTGCCGATGTGAGACATAAAAATGGAACAAGATGAATCCATGAAAAATTGCATACCATTCTCATAATAACAAAAAGCTCTCATATTCCCGTAAAATCTACAATATAATTGTTATTCACGAAGCACATACGAATATCTAACATACGACAGCACTACCCTCTAAAAGGCATTGTCTGCCTCATGCCTGTGCCTATATTTCCGTACGAAAAAAGCCAAACAAGAAAAAAAAAGAATAGACAAAGCCCGATCGGCAAAACAACGACGTGGTTGCCATGGTAACTGCCGCACCGGCCCGCCATGCACCAAAAATTTGTATCTACATAACTAAGCTGTAAATATTTAAAAAACGGATTTTGCTATGCTGAGGGAAATTGGGAGAATGAAGGTGTTCTACTCGTTACAAAAACTGATTGGCAGGCTAAAAAGTTTCATTTTGGACTTAAAAAAAGTTGTTATACTGAATTTTGAATATGGGCGCGGAATTTGATTTTAGAACGCTTCTTTTTTTGGATGCTCTGTTCGCTCTTTATTACATGAAAGTAGTATGCAAAGCATAAATCTTCATTTTGGTTACTCAGTAACGCTATTTTTTTATACACATAGGTACCTACTGCAGCAGTTTGATTTTTTTGCTAAACGACTTTAATGTGGGAATACATTTTATAGGTACTGTTTAGTTTTTCCGTGATTCGAAAAATTATGCTAGATCAATTTTACTCCAGTCATGGCAGATATGATAGCGCTATTTTTTTAAAACTACTTATAAGTAGGTATTTTTATTAACATACGATACCTACCTACGTTAATAATAGTTTGGAAGTACCACAGATAACTTCTGTTATGTCATGTAATATACATATGTATACTTATTGTAATTACTATATATATCAAGTAAAGTATATCCAAACACAGTTCCTTATTCAAAAATTTTAAACCCAAACGAGTTAACATTTAAATCAACGGATTCTATTGTTTTATTTTTTAAATCGTAACTTTAGGTTTTAGGGTCATATTGACCTCTAGTTTTTATGGGTCTTCTAGAAATAATGTTGAGCATTTGTCCTACAGACGTTCTTAGAACGGGTCTGGCTGGTTTCGTAAGTTACCAACGTACGCTACGGGATTTAATTACTGCTATAAAAATATTGTGCTATTTATGTTATAAGTACCCTTTACTTGCAGCTTTTTGAATGCATTTTTGTACTTATTTAAAATCACATATTGTTACAAGTAGATAAGTTACTGTCTTTAAGTGTTAGGTTGGACGTTAAGTAAGGATATATTATTATTTACTTTATGATATGAGTATTTTAATTTCAGGGCAGTCATCAAATGACTTCTCCCGCCCAGGGTAAGGCGAGAGAGTGTCAGACTCTTAAGTAACTAAAAACCCCGTTCCCTCTTCGGATTTAAGCCGAGGCCGCGGTACTTCATTGCGCTTACCCCGCAACCCCGGCTGAACATGAGCACTGTAGGGCCCCGTCTTTTGGTTGTAATAAGACTTAGGGCGGAGTTCAAACTTACATGTGAAGGCCATACACGATAGGTTTTGCATTTGGTTTTAACCTTGCATGCTTAAACCTGATAGGAATAACCGAATTGTATTGTGCTAGAGTTTGTATCCAAGGAACACCCGACGTATATGGCTAGACACCATTAGGAAGTTTAAGTGTGCAAGAACCATGCTTGCATAAATGGCCGGCTCAACCGGGTTGATATTACGGTCTCATAGAAAACCGGCGTGATAAAACGTTAGCATTGTGTTACGCCGTGCATATGAAGTTACTGGAGAAGTATTAATTCTCCCCCCCCCCCCACCCCAAAATCCGCTTTGACCTAACAACCTACAGATTGCCGAAGCCGCATTTCTAACTCGTTTGGTATTGCACGTGTCCATGGGTGGCGCCACCGTGCCGATTGCTTATCATCAGGTGTTCGTTTTGGTCGTTTGACGTATCCCATATAAACATTATGTAGGTAGTACCTACTTGGAGACGGTCAGGTGATCATTCGTTTTTGATATTGTTAATTTTGTGAGGGAAAAAAGAATGACTCAAGTGGTTTTAAATTTGATGGATTCTTTACTGTTTGGATTATTTGTAGCGGTTGGGTACTGGTTATATGCCGAACGTTGTAGCTTCAATTCTGGTAGCACCAACTATTTCTTTCATCTACATAATCTTGTTAAATGTCTGGATACATCAAGATAAAGAATTTATAAACCGAAAACCAGGGAGAAAACGAAACCTTAACCTCCGAAAAGCTACACACTCATAAATTCCTTTGGTGTAGCGGGTTTTCATGGGCGATGCCGATTGCTTACCCGAGCTTGCCGAGGTTTTTAGTCAGTAAGAGACACTCACCAAGGCGGGAGTAATATGTAGTCAGATGATGTTCCCTTTCTCAAAAAGAGGCCGGTAGTGTGGCCCCACAGCATAAACAACACGAGGCGTAACCCGTGTAAGTAAGATGTTAAAGGCTCCCATCCAATTTCATATCACCCGATCTACAAATTGTTATCGCACGCAACGATATGCTTTCTAAAATTCCAATTTTCATTTACAATGTAATGTTGAACTGAAGTACTCCTTATCAATGTTGCCACTAGACGCTGGTCGTCCCGTTATCTAATTTCTGAACGAATGGAGACGCCGTTTTGCCGCGAACCGTGACCAATGCTACACTTTGGTGTTCGACATTTTTATACCGAGCGTATCTACCTAAAAGTCATCGCACAAAAAATGCACGAAAAATAGCTAAGTAACCTACCTACTGAAAAAAATCGTAAAAATTTTTGAACTAACTTAAACGTTTGAAAGAAAATCAGAGAATTTATTTATAACTTACAATTAACCAATTTACCCCTCATGGGGAAAATGGCAAGGGTTAGATGTCTAAAACAACAATTGGGAAAATTGCCCTTGCACTCGCAACCATGTTTGCGGTTTCAACACCTAATAGAGTTATACGTATCGCACGGTTGACGTTGTGGCAGCTGTGTCGCTCCGGTTCGAATCCCGCACGTTACAACTTTTCTGTAATCTGCAAATTGTTGTTCCGGGTCTAGGTGAAATGTGCATATGAGTTTCTATATCTGTACACGCATCCACGACAAAATCCTAGTGTAGAGAAAGTGTACAGGAGAAAATTCTAGTTACTTTACGTTGGTGTAACTTTAAATGAAAACTAGAACTAGAACTATCTTTTCCTGTCCCCAAGAA